GGTCAAACTTCTCAAAAACCTTCAAATTTCTATCTTTAGCCAAATAACTCCAAAATGACCTACGGACCTCCGAATTCACTTCCGATCGCGCTCCCAACTCCAAAATCACCATACGGAGCTATTCACAGACTCGGAATCCCAAACGGACATCGATAACACTGAAATGCACTTCAAGCCAAACTTATGAAATTTCTTCCAAATTGCTAACTTCCACAATAGGCGCCAAAACGCTCCCGGGTTATCCAAAACCCGAACCGGGCATACGCCCAAGTCCGAAATCATCATACAAACCTGCTGGAACCTTCAGATCTTGATTCCGAGGTCGTTTACTCAAAAATCCTATCTTAGTTAATTCTTTCAACTTTAAGCTTCCGAAATGAACATTCTCTTCCCAAATCAATTCCGAACTTCCCGAAATTCAATTCCGACCACGCGTACAAGTCATAATACCTGAAATGAAGCTGCTCATGGCCTCAGACTGCTGAACGACGCGCTAGAGCTCAAAATGACCGATCGGGTCGTTACATAAAATTATCACTACAAGAATTGAGAAAATGTTAGTCTTTTTTCATGTAGTGTTTATTAATTAATATCTGACGATTATCTATTATATTTTAGAAGGTTTAAATGTTAAGATTATTTACATATAATTCAAATAACTCAGATATTTAACATGGTTAATGTCAAATATCAAAATGGAGTAAAAACAAATTCACTAGCTAAAGAATTTTTTATATTTTTAGATAGCCAACTAAAATAAGTTTTGAATTAAGAATAGTATTTTCAATTACATTATTATAAAAATAATTATTATTGAAAAATAATGTTTTAGAAACTGAAATTTTAAGAAAGAAATATTTTTTAAGAGATATCAACACACCAAATAGAGCTCAAGTAGTAGTAAAAGAGTTAAGTCTTATCCAAAGAGTCATTCATTGTCTCAGTATTTGATTGTTTTGCCATAAATATGAGTTATTATTTGCTTCCTGACTATTGTTAGGATCCAATGATACCTGCAAGAATGGTATCAAAAAATAAAAATAGAAGAAATGGTTAATTTTTTTCATGTAGTTAATATCCGGTGATTACCTATATTTACTGAGAAAGTGTAAATTTTAAGATTATTTACATACAATTCAAATAACTTAAATATTTGACATGATTAGGGTCCGCGTACCCGCGCGGGTACTAATACTAGTTACTATTAATAAAGTGACGTTTTCTACACCATCATTATTAATTCAAAATTATTACGTTTATTTAATTGAATCTTATAAAAGCATTGTTCATGCGCCTACACCATCATTATCAATTCAAAATTATTACATTTATTTAATTGAAGCATAATAAAAGCATAGTCCGTATAAGATAATATAAAATTCTTCACGGTCCATTTCTGAGTGGACGCTACCGCTTATTAATTGAAAATTATAACCTTTTAATATCATCTACTCTACTCTCCACCCTAAAGATTAGAATCAAAGCTAAAATTTGAAATTTAAGGGTTCTGAATTTATTATTAAACTTATAATGCGTTTTGACTACTGAATTTGAACCAAAATATTTAGGTTTAATATATTTGATAATTTTTTTAATATAATTATAAATCTAAATAAAAGTTACTAAATTCCCAACTCGTAAATGATATTGTAGCTTCGCTCCAATGAGATAAGTGCAAGATATATTTGAAACAAGTTAAAGTGTCACACTCACAATGGGGGACAAGCCCACCGTTTGTACTTTCAACTTATCCGCTTTTGCCACTTGCCTTTTCACACTGGGGACAAGTTAGAATGTATAATGAAAGAAATTCAGGATTAGCTTGGTTTACCATTGTTAAATGAAAATTAGTTATAATTTTAAAATTAATTATATTTAGTTATTTTTATGCGAAAATAAAATTTAAACAAAAATATTCTTCGTTAAAATTCAAAAATTCTACCATAATATGCTGAAATTCTAGTTTTTACATACAAAATTCCAGCATAATGTGTTGGAATTCATAATATGCTAGAATTCCAATATAAATATGTAAGATTTTGTTATACATTAGTTCTATAATCCATCATATAATACTGAATTTTTCTCGGTGTTTGGTCTGAATTATACTTTTGTATTAAATAGTGGTTAGACTTCAGATTTCCAAGGACATGACCCTTGATAGGAAGCTGTGGAGATCGAGTATTATAAGGTTGTAGGTTAGGAGCTAGTTGAGTTTTTTCCTACTTCGTACTTTTGTGAGGCTAGTCTGATAGTATTTTTGTCTTAGACTACTAGTGGTTAATGTTGTGTCTTACTACTCTTTCGTTTTTCATAGTGCCGAGTCTATTTTGATGGCTAATTGGCGCTTTTGCTTTTCATCAATTTTCTGGTCTTTATGATGCTGTTATTATTCCTATGGTATCTGTTGGTGGTACTGATATTGTCTCTTTTCGTCTTCTTGATCCGTACATCTTTCGGAAACAGCCTCTCTACTCCCTCGGGGTTGGGGCAAGGTCTGTGTACACACTACCCTTCCCAGACCCCACTAGTGAGATTTTACTGGGTCCTTATTATTGTTGTTATATTAAATAGTGGCTATTTTTAAATACTTTACAAATAGTGTTATATTTAATTATCAAACTAGCTAGTCCATACTAATTTGACATATATAGAGCCGTCAAAATGGGCTTGGCCCGTGAGGCCAACCCAACCCAGCCCGCTACTTGGGTAGGGTTGGACTAGGATTTTTGAGCCCATTTAAAATTGAGGATTATAAGTCCGGCTCAAGTTAGCCCGCTGCCCCTTGAGGCTTGACCGAGGCTAGGCCTAGGCCAGTCCGTAGGCCAAAAGATAATTAAATTCAAATTAATTAACTATTAAATATTTAATATTTAAAAAAAGTAAAGACTAAAAAACTATTAACTGTAATCCCCATTCCCCAACCCTAGATTGCTCGTTTACCTTTCCATATCAACTAGAATTTAGATTTTTGACATGCATGTAATATGACAAAGTTAGTCTTCCTTTTGCTTACCTATGATTTGGGGAAGAAGTGGTCTTTGGAAAATCGCCTAGAGGGTTTCTTGTTTTGAAAGATTCGAAAAAGAGCAAAAATCTCGTCTAAGTCCCTTTTACACAGCTGCAGATGTCGCATTTGCGACCTGAGCTTCGCAAGCTCGCAAATGCGAGGTCCTTCACATCTCTACTGCCTTCACAATTGCAAAGATAAGTTCGCAATTGCGAACATGAACCTCTGCAAATGCGACAAAATGATCGCATTTGCGATCACTGCCCCTCCCAGCTTTATTTCGCAAATGCGAAGAATTCTTCGCTATTGCGAAAGCTGTATGGCCCAGCTTCTCTTTGCATTTGCGATGAGAAGCTCGCAAATGCGAACCCCTCAAAGGTCGCAATTGTTATTCCTGACCTCACAATTGCGAGATCAGGGGCCTGCAACACCATCAGTTACACTAGCAATTATCTCCAAGTTCAAATCACTCCGTAGCCTATCCGAAACTCACCCGAGCCCTCGAGGCTCTAAACCAAACATACATACAAATCTTAAAACATCATACGAACTTGCTCGCGCGATCAAATCGCCAAAATAACACCTAGAGCTATGAATTTAGCACCAAATCAAATAAAATTCTCAAGAACACTTTGAAATTTCTATTTTCTCAACAGGACGTCCGAATCACGTCACACCAACTCCGTTTCTCACCAAATTTCACAGACATGACTTAAATATTATATTAAACCTGTACCAGGCTCCGAAACCAAAATACGGACCCGATACCAACAAGATCAAACATTAACAATTCCTTAAAAACCATTAAATTTTCTGACTTATAATTTTTAACAAAAATTCATTAATCGGGCTAGGGACCTCCGAATCCGATTCCGAGCATACACTCAGGTCCCATATTTCGATACGGACCCAGCGAGACTGTCAAAATACGAGTCCGGGTCCGTTGACTTAAAACGTTGACCGAAGTCAACTAAATCAACTTTTAAAGGCAAAGCTTATTGTTTTCATCAACTTTTAACATAAAAGCTTTCCGCAAACACACCCGGACTGCGCACGCAAATCTAGAAGGAATAAAATAAGGTTTTAAAGGCCTCGGAACTCAGAATTTGGTTTTAAATTATAAGATGACCTATCGGGTCATCACATTACATGGCTAAAAGTATTAGGATTATACTAATAGAATTTCTAAAGGTAATAATGTAGGATTCCTAACGTGTACTATGTTCTAAAACTAATAGGATTATAAGGTAAATGCTTAGAATTCCGGTTATGTCCTTTTACGGTGAGTTATTATACTTCATATTAAAATGCTATTTTTGTTAACTAACATTATATTCATGCTTTTATAATAATATAAATATAGATATAGATATAGATAAATAGATGTAACGGCTTAAATAAAATCGAAAATAAAAGGAGGTAAATTAAATATTTTCTAATAATACAAGGATAAGTATTAACTATAACCGTTTCCCGTTTCCTTTTCAACTTATATATTGAGCAAAAAGTTATTTTTTTTACTAGCTGATAACTCACCATACTTATCCTCTTTGACTGTCTTCATTTATCTTTGCCATCTCTTCTCGACTCTCGAGTCAACATTTCTCGAACAAAAAACCTTAAACCCTACCACTCCCTTACCTTCTTTTCTTGTCTCCCAGTTACTCCTCTATTTTCAAGGTGAAGAACATTAGATTTTCAAAATTAATCTAAATAATTGTCCATCAAATATTTAAAGTAAAAATATATGACAAATTTATAATATAAATATATTGTATATAATTTATCCAATTGTTTATTTGGCTTAAGATTCCAATTTTTAAAAAGGGGCCCACATATTATTAATAATCTCGTATACTATATTTTATTTATCAAATCAATAATATTATTCTCTTATAATGATAAAATTTCATGATTGAGTTGGATAAGGACTCTACAACTAATAATTCTTTAATAAAAAGGATTCCAACTCCTACTTATCTTTGGCTTTTCATGCGTTGTTATTTAAGTTTTCCATCATAATATATTGTACTTCAATTTCACACCATATATTTTCTTTCTCTTTCTCGTGTTTCTTAGCTTAGAGATTATAACACTAAATTCCGCCACCAATTTACTCCTCTATTCTGTTCTTACCAGTTGTTTCTTGAATGGACTGTGGCTTTTTTTACACCGATATTTCTCTTCCTCAATCTTTACCTTTCACAGTAAAAAATACCCTTTTTTCATCTATACCTTTTTCTCCATTAAATTTACAGAGTACTCTGTTTAAGAGCAGAAAATCGTTGGTTGTGGTGGCAAGTGGTAAAAATAGTAGTAATAATTGTGAATTCAGTGGTTTGAACGTGCCATTAGTGCCAAGGACAGAAGAAGGGAGATTTTTGAGCAGTATTTTTCAGAATAATAAAAAGTGTTTTTATGCTGTTGTTCAGAAAGAATTGGCAAAGTTGGGTTATGAAAAGGGTGAAGCTTTTCTTCGTATGAATCTTAACTTGGGGTCTGATGAAGCTGTTCTTCACAGGTTGGTGTCCCCTTTCCCTTTTTTTTTTTTTTTTTTTTTTTTTTTTTTTTTTTTTTTTTTTTTTTTTTTTTTTTTTTTTTTTTTTTTTTTTTTTTTTTTTTTTTTTTTTACAATCACTGCAATTTAAAGGGATATAGTAGGTCATTACTCTATTTTCTAGGTTAACATATCGGACATAATTATGATAGCTCGGTGTACAAAGCATCATGCATTCACGCAGAGTCTGGGGGCCGCACCCCTTAGGTATGATATAGACAGCTTACCCTAATGCAAGCATTAGTGGCTGCTTCCACGGCTAGAACTCGTAACTTATAGGTCATATATAGACAACTTTAACATATCGTACATTATAGTAGAATTAGTTGTTGTAAGTCAACTTAATATGATAATCGGACTTGATAGTAGAATTAGTTGTTGTAAGTCAACTTAATATGATAATCGGATATGATAGTAGAATTCGTTGTTGTTGTTGTAGGTCAACTTAATATGATAATCGGATATGATAGTAGAATTTGTTGTTGTTGTTGTTGTAATATGATAGTCGGACTTGATAGTAGAATTAGTTGTTGTTGTAAGCCAACTTAATATGATAATCGGACTAGATACTAGAATTATTTGTTATTGTAATTCAACTTAATACTTTAAAAATTATTTGCACTGTGAGCGTATAGAAGTTCTTGTCATAATTTGACTTGTACAATGGTTTGGGTTTGGTATTGTGGGGTTCCTAAGGCTTTACTCACTATCCAGACTTGATGTTTAATTTGCTCGGTGTCGATCAGTTGTGTATATTTTGGCGAAGCGGTGTGGGATGGCGCCACTTAATTTGTGCGGTTTTACTCCAGAAAGTCGCGTTGACCTTAGTTTCTCTTCATTATCTCCATAACTTGAAGTTAATCTAAAGAAGCAAAGGTTCACTACAACCGTCTGATTAGCATTCAATCTTGGCGTGTCGTTCTTCTCCAAATCTTTGATTTATTGCGTGTTCTGAAGAGGAAATAACTGATTATACTTTGAGCCAGAGAGTAATGAAAGTATTTGGAAATACTTACATGTTCTTAATTAAGTTTAATTTTCAAAATTTTGAAGAAATTAACATTGACTTCAGTTAAATATAGTTTTATGGCATAAAAGTCTAATTGTTTGTTTGAACACTGCTTGTTTAATTACCTCATACTTACTACTCATTCAAATGTAGACTTGTCCAATCACTTCTGTATACTTTACTAATATTTGTATATGATGAAATTCCAGGAGAATTGCTGAACTGAAAAAGCTGGAATGTCGAAATGCTGTAGAGGATATTCTGTACATGTTAATAGTTTACAAGTTCTCCGAAATCGGGGTTCACTTGGTTCCAAAGCTCTCCAAATGCATGTACAATGGCAGACTCGAGATATGGCCCTGTCGAGACTGGGAGCTCGAGTCTATTCATAGCTTTGAAGTACTCGAAATGGTTAGAGAACATCTTACTACTGTTATCGGATGGAAAGAGAAGTCGAACGTGACAGAAAATTGGATCCCTACTCAAGTCCCAAAGTTCCAAATCCATCGAGTTTATGCTGCTTCGATTCTATATGGATATTTTTTGAAGTCGGCCTCGTTGAGGCACCATATGGAACAGAGTCTTGAACATATCAACTCTGATATTGGTGTTACTACTTCAGGAAACCTCTTAGTTTCAGGGTCGTGGCCGTTAAAACAAAACAGCGTTCCCTTTGGTCGTATCAGTGGCACACGATCTACATTAGTCGGTCCAACATCACTTATCCAGGGGAAGAAGAATGAAAAACTTAGGTCTTATGTTATGAATTTTGACCATGAAATAATGCAGATGTGTGCAAAACCGAAATGCAAGGAGGCACTGAATCTGATTGAGAAACATTGTTCTGCACTTTTTGGCGATGAGAGCGATGAGGTAGTTTCAACGTCATTGGCGAGTCTTAAAAGGATTGTGTTAGAGGCTGTGGCTTTCGGTTCTTTTCTTTGGGATGCAGAAGATTATGTTAGGACATTTTATCAGCTCGAGGAGAACTAGCAATACCAGAAGGGCGATTTTATTAGCACGATATAAGCATCGTCGTAGTTTTGATCTCGTTTACTTAGACATAACGAGGAAGTCCACTCTTGACTTTCGCCAAATTGTGCTGATTCCGCGTGTGCTTGTATATCTCAGCAATCGACGCCTGCTGCAAAAAAGAAGAAAGAGGCTCAAGGTTATAGTATAGATAGTAGTTGGATGATATACTCTGTAGTAGAGTTGTCATATATACTGCAATTTTCTTGATGTATATTCCAGGTATTCATTATCTGTCTTTGTAAATTTGGAGTTGTATAGAGCATTATCCCTAACATATAAATAATTAGATGTGAGCACTTTCATGATTTTTGACATATTACAAGTGGTAAAAAGAGAATATCTATTGCCTTTTATTGCCAATGGTACTCTAGATTCCTATGGATATCTTATTTGTCTCTCGAGGAAAATGAATATCTCCAGAAAAGATTTTAAGTTCAATTCGTTTTTTCTTCTTCTCTCCACTTGGACCAACCCACCGACTCGATTTCTTAGATTTAAGGTGATTTGTGTATCTACCTCAATGATACTATTGTTTCGTACCATTATGGAAAAAGATCCGGGCAAGATATGCACTTCTTTAGAAATATTTAAAAAAAAAAATTGATCTACTTTCATTTAATATTTTGGCTAAATTTCTTGACTCCTCGATACTCAATCAAATCCTATATTTTGATGATTGAATACGTTTCTATAGTCTCATATTTAATAATGCCCGAACTGTATCGAGGATCATCAAAATAATATTCTAAGTGTCTATTGCAGAAACAAATCATGCATGATCAGGGACTGAAGTATTCAATTCCTACAGGTGATACCACATAAAACAAATTATTCATTTAGGTGATATCAAATCGTCCGAGTACGCCTATTTTTACCTATTGTAAATTTGTAATAGGTAATTTACCATGTTTTACAGGTTACTAATTCATGTCGTATAAAAAAGTTACATAATGTATACGGTGAAATTGGGCTTGCCCTTTTTAGTATGACTAGTTTAAGTGTACGCGCTTTGCGCGTGATTAAAACGCGTACCTCTATTTGACAACAAATACTACAGAAAAAATTTGGACTTAGTTACGAACTTCGTCATTAATCCGTTGCTAAATTGCTTGTCGTTAATTTTGTACCCCTTGTGTATATGCTTTGCATGCGCATGTCATCGTCAATAAGTAAAAAATGTAGTATACAAGAAGAATAAATTGTTGTAAAGTATTATATGATAAACTTTATCATTGGAGTCTTTATGGTAAAAACTCCTATTATTAATTATTTGTATGATATTGTTTCGTATCTCTTTAATTAAAGTACTTTTGGATCATGACACTAAATGACATATTTATTTAGACTTATATTTTCAGCACACTTCTTACCAAAATAGCCTATATATTTTTGTATAAAATTATACTAATTTAATGTCTAAGAAAATAACAAATGACTTTTTTGTCATTGTGGAATTTTTTAGTGAATGAAAAAGTTCAATAAACATTTCTAAGGACCTTATCATTTTTAATTTTTATATTGTTTCTTTGTGCATTGAATTTATAATATGTATTATTTAAAAAAAAATTAAAAAAAAATTAGATTGGTTTTATTTCTAAAACTTTTGTAGACGAATTGTATTAAACTTTATCACTGGCGACTCTATAGTGAAAACTCCTCTTATTAATTATTTGTATGATGTTGTTTCGTATCTTCTTAATTAAAAATACTTTTGAATCGTGACACTAAATGACATATTTATTTAGACTTCTATTTTCAGCATATTCCTATCAAAATAGCCTATACATTTTTTGTATAAGATTATACTTATTTAATATTAAGAAAATAGCAAATGAACTTTTTTGTCGACTATGAAATTTTTTAGTGAATGATAAAAAGTTAAATCAACATTTCTAAGGACCTAATCATTTTTATTTTTTATATTATTTATTTGTGCATTGAATTTATAATATGTATCCTGCAAAAAAATATAAAATAAATAAATTATTGGTTATATTTCTAAAACTTTTGTAAACGAATTTTACGTAAGTCTTTTCTAAGCATAATTTGCTAATTTGTTTTATAGTGAAGGACTCCTTCCTATTATTATGAGACAAAAATAGGTTCATGTTTCTTTATAGTTGCTAGAATAAGTTAATCTAACCCATCTTTTTAGGAGATTCGCACGTGCAGTTTAATTCCATTTGAAAAAACAAATAAGCAATCCAAAGTTCCGAACAACTCTTGTAAATAAACAAATAAAATTCTCCTTTAATTTAATATTGTTATAAATACAATTATATTTATGGTGAATGTCCATATTTAGAGAGATTCTAGGGTTTATTACTTGGTAGCTAAGTCACCATCTCCCTATAAATAGAGGGTTTTATTCCATTGTAATTCATCCCAAATCAATAAGAATTCTCTCCCTCTACTTTTCTCTGCAATACTCTTCTTCTTCTTTTATTGTTTTATAACACGTTATCAGCACGAGACTCTAACCAATTGAGTAGAAGTTTTGGGATTGAGCATAATGATTGTCAATTATTCCATGAACTTCCTTCATGATTAAATTCTGGATTTAAGGTAAGTATTTTACCGTATTTTTCTCTTTTATTCTATACTTTGGTTTTAAATACAAGCAAAGACAACAAAGTTTGATTATAACTCTAATGGAGTTTGTAAGAAATTATAACCACCTGAAGTGGTAAAATTTCTATGCCTCGCCATGATCAAATTCATGTATGATTGTGGGCAAAGAATTGAAAATCCGTCCCATTGAATTTGCTCCATTCTCATTCCCTTAAGAGAATGTGATAGCAGTATGTGATAAGTCTGAAAGAAGACAAAATTATTACTATGAATGTATCAATGGATATGGACGTGGCAATAGACGAAATTATAATCGTCACCGTTTGTGGTGATGAGAACAATAAGTATTCTCAAAATAATCTTTCACTCTGTTAAAAATATTTGTCATCGATTTGACATGAGATTTTGTAAAGCACATATAGATGATTATGGTCCATTCATGATGTGAATGTGACAACATCTGATTTATGAATACATATTCATTCTTCAAAGAATATGAACGTGCTAGTGGTAGTGAATATACCGAACTCACCTCTAAAAGAAGGTTTGAGATGATATAAGAAAATAATGTCATTATTATGGCATGAATGGTCATTGGTCACGTACCTATTGTACGCCAAAATATTTTTGGTAATGTGATTATTAAAGAATAACATTAATGCAAGAAACATATCTTGCATATAATTTTGACCATAACTATAATGGTATCATTTTCTCTTTAAAAGAGATATTCACCATATGAGTGTTGATGAATATGTGGTACTACAAAATTAATTGAGAGCTCTAGAAGAGCCAATTATACTATTTTGGAGAAACACAATTAATTACCAATAAGGTATTGTGTTGTAGTAAGTCTCAAAGAAACTTATTCAGTTTCCAAAGTATACGCGAAAGCGATTGATTATATTGAGACTATAAATAAAGGAAAGATTTAATATCTTCTATTACTACAACTTGTAGCGGGGTAATATGTATGTGAAAAGCTACCCGCTTTATTCTCCAATTTGTACTACATAAATAAAAGAATACCACAATGAAGTGGATATTTATTGATATAAAAACCCATATCATAATAAACTTGGAGTTTATTCATAATTGCACACATCATGGTGTAAACCTGAAGTTTATCAATATTGATAATTTATCCAGTTGGCGTAATTGGTTTAGCCATATTAATTCAAGTATGATGTGCAAAAATAAAAGAGAATTCACATGGGTAATATTAAAGAACTAGAAAGTTCTTTACGAATTCTCTTACATTGTTTGTTCTCATTAATTAATAGACCAATTAAAATTGGGATTGAATCCCATGAATGCTGGAAATATCAAAGGTGAATATGGGCTCATTCACCTGCCATGTATACCACATAAGATGCATCTATGAGATGGTTACATGTGCAATTATTAATAACCCGCAACATGGTGTTTGCGAGGTAACTTGCTCAATAATTTAATATAGAGCATAATTTCCAGATTTTTTATTCAAGATAGTTCTTCTTGATAAGTTGGTTTACATCACAGTTGGTTTAGCAAAATGATTTATTGAGTGCCTCCACTTAATAGCTAAACTATTGCTTATGAGAACAAACTTTTGTATATCAGTTTGATATACGTTATATACCAAAGTATATTATTTTCTCCCCTCACAAGTGGTTCATGGTCAGGAACCAAATAATTCCATCTTATTATTATTATTGATATGCGGTGTATATTTTGATTAACACCATAACGCACAAAGATGGGTTCTGAAAGTTGAGGAAACAAGTTAGTTTTTCTAACATGAGGGGGAGACAAGATACAACAGTTGAGAAAAAGTTACATGGAATGAATTATCATTTATACATCTAGATCCCCGAATAAAATAATATGAACTTGAAGTTCATAAAAGGATAATTCATGTGCAATTTATTGCAAAGCATGCCAGACGCATTTGCTGACCTAAAGAAAGTAACAATCCCTGAAGGATTTAAATTGCTTAAAGCATATATAATTCTTGGTCCTGAAGTACCACATCCTAAATGCAATTTGTGCACATATGTATCTTGCTATAACTATAGGCATGATAATATGATAGCAAGAGTTTCCACCTCTATGTGAAGATATTGAAATGATGATTCCAACAAGATCATATGAAGACAATACATCTATTAGGGATGATGATTTCAAGGTGAAACAAATACGTTCAAGTTAATATGGCTGATTTGTTTATCAAATATCTACCAATGATCTTTTGAAGATGGTGCACAAGATTGGAATGCAAATGCTTAAGGATGTGAATTGATGCTCTCATCAGGGGGGAGTTAATACGCGTTGTACTTTTTTTCCCTTACAAGGTTTTGTCCCACTGGGTTTTCCTTGCAAGGTTTTTAACGAGGCAACCAAAAGGCGTATTGTTAGATATGTGTACTCTTTTTCCTTTTCTAGAATTTTTTTCCCATTGGGTTTTATTTTAGTTAAGGTTTTAACGAGGCACATTATCTGTTGAATAGACATTCAAGGGGGAGTGTTATAAATACAATTATATTTATGGTGAATGTCCATATTTAGAGAGATTCTAGGGTTTATTACTTGGTAGCTAAGTCACCATCTCCCTATAAATAGAGGGTTTTATTCCATTGTAATTCATCCCAAATCAATAAGAATTCTCTCCCTCTACTTTTCTCTGCAATACTCTTCTACTTCTTTTATTGTTTTATAACAAATATATTTCAGAGCATTAATGATGCATTGTTACCACGGGAGATAAAATTTCTTCCTAAACGGTAGTGTTTCTTTTATAAGG